TGTCTCGGTGGTAGTTGGCGTGTGGATGGTTGTGTTGTTGAAGTTTGGCGTAGCGGCGGTTGGTGTGGGGAGGGTTGGCGTGGGGAACATTGTCTTGGCGTTGGTTGGCATGGCGATGGTTGGCATGGGGGTGGTTGGAGTGGGGAGGGCTGTCACGGGTCAGGTTGGCGTGTGGAGGAATAGCGTGGGGAGCATTGTTTCAGCATTGTGTGGCTCCAGGACGGCTGTATCGGGGACGGGTGTTTTCAGGCTGGGTGTCTCTGTGATGGGTGTTTCAGCAACGGTTGGTGTGGGGATGGTTGTCATGGCGATGGTTGGCGTGGGGCCGGTTGTCTTGCTGATGGTTGTCCTTGCGACGGTTGTCTCAGTGACGGTTGGCGTGGGTATGGTTGGCTTGGGGACGGTTGTCTCAGCAACGGTTGGCGTGGGGATGGTTGTGTTGGCGACGGTTGGTTTGGAGATGGTTCTCTCAGAGATGAATGGGGTCTGGATTGTTGTCTCGGTGACGGTTGGTGTGGGGACCGTTGTCTCGGTGACGGTTTGCGTGGGGACCGTTTTCTCGGTGACGGTTGGCGTGGCAACCATTGGCGTAGGGACCGTTTTCTTGATGGTGGTTGGTGTCGGGACCGTTGTCTCAGCGACAGGTGGCGTGGGTAAGGTTGGCCTGTGGGAGGGTTGGCGTGGGGACCGTTGTCTCGGAGACGGTTGGCATGGGGACGGATGGCGTGGGGACCGTTGTTTCACTGATGGGTGTCTGCGAGATTGTTGCAGCGGGGACGGGTGTTTCCCAGATGGGTGTCTCGGCGACGGTTGGCGTGGGGATGGTTGTCGCGGTGTTGTTTGGTGTGGGGACGGTTATCTTGCTGATGGTTGTCTTTGCGACGGTTGTCTCAGTGACGGTTGGTGTGGGCGTGGTTGGCTTGGGGACGGTTGTGTCAGCTACGGTTAGAGTGGGGATGGTTGTCTCGGCGACGGTTATGTTGGCGACGGTTGGCACGGGGACCGTTGTGTTGGCGACGGTTGGCACAGGGAAGGTTGTCTCAGGGACGGTTGGCGTGGCAGCGGTTTACGTGGGGACCGTAGTCTCGGCGACCGTTGTCTCGGTGGCGGTTGGCGTGGGGACTGTTGTCTTGGCGACGGTTGGCGTGTGTCTCGGTGACGGTTGGCGTGGGGACCGTTGTCTTGGTGACTGTTGGCGTGGAGACTGTTGTTTCGGCGAGTTTTGGTATGGGGACGGTTGGCGTGGGGATGGTTTTCTC